CCTACTTAGTACGCCCCCACCCCCCTACTTAGTACGTCCCCACCCCTACTTAGTACGCCCCCAGCCAATACTTAGTACGTCCCCACCCCCTACTTAGTACGTCCCCACCCCCCTACTTAGTACGCCCCCACTTCTTAATACGCCCCCACCCCCCTACATCGTACAAACCTGTTTTAGGAGTTATAAACCAACATCTGACGTAAGTCTATTTTTGTTGTTGTATTTCCTCCAACCGTGCGTCACCACTGCCGAGGTTCACCTTCCGATCCGTGGTGAAGCTTCTAATCAGCTATGACCGTGAACTTTATAATCTTGTTTAACAGCTCTTACTTAGATCATGACAAATGATTCCATGGAACACAGCATACACAAATTTCAAGATATAAATAACATCTCTTACAAGAAATCCAAGAATGGATATCAATACAACCCCCCCTCCCCCCCACCCTCCCCCCCCCCCTTCTCCCCCCCCCCCCCACACACACACACATTTGTTCCCCCTTTTTTTGTTGTTGTTGTTGTTTTTGATTTAGCTTTTCATAAAAAAGCGGAACTGTCTAACTAGACCATATTTTTCCACCCGAAGGAAAGAGAGACGTTTTTTTTTTCCGTTTTCATTTTTACAACTTTTATTATGCAGGTAAAGAAAAAGTGAATAACTACAATAAAAATCAGGGACACAAAATCAGTGACAGTGTTGCAATTTTTTAATTGAACAGATAATAATAATTTTCAATTAGGGTGGGGGTGGGTGGGGGAGAATAGTCGTTGCAGGGCGTTGGCGAGCGCCGGCGTGCCACAATTGACACGCGTGCCGGAATTTCTATCACAAGACCAAGTACATTTACAGCTCGCATGTATCAAAAGTGAAATGTTTGGCTGAAAATTGCTACATTGCCTTGTGCGTTGTGAGGACAACAAAGATAAACAACTAAACTCGTAAATATCTGTGAAGGGCGGAGTGAAAAGTCATCCACCGTCCTCAGCAACTGTGGAGGATGGAGTGAAAAGTCATCCACCGTACTCATCAACTGTGGAGGATGGAATGAAAAGTCATCCACCGTCCTAAGCAACTGTGAAGGATGGAGTGAAAAGTCATCCACTGTCCTAAGCAACTGTGAAGGATGGAGTGAAAAGTCATCCACCGTCCTCGGCAATTGTGAAGGATGGAGTGAAAAGTCATCCACCGTCCTCATCAACTGTGGAGGATGGAGTGAAACGTCATCCATCGTCCTCAGCAACTGTTGGCGACCCTACTTCTCTTTAAACCAGTGTTTCCCAACACATGTTCGATACATTCATTAGTCCCTGAGATATTTGTTGTTTAAAGAATGAGGGGATTGTCACACAGGATCCTTTCAAAAAATTAAATATCTGTTATTGTTTGTCATTTATTGCAGTATATACATTTCACTTATCCCACTACGCTGAACCTCGAGATCTAAATATGGCCTGAAATTGAATCTAAATATGCCCTGAAATTGAATTTTAATATGCCCTGAAATGGAAACTAAATATGCCCTGAAAATGAACCTAAATATGACCTGAAAATGAATCTAAATATGACCTGAAATTTAATCTAAATATGCCCTGAAATGGAAACTAACTATGCCCTGAAAATGAACCTAAAATGACCTGAAAATGAACCTAAATATGACCTGAAATTTAATCTAAATATGCCCTGAAATGGAAACTAAATATGCCTTAAAAATGAACCTAAATATGACCTGAAATTTAATCTAAATATGCCCTGAAATGGAAACTAAATATGCCCTGAAAATGAACCTAAATATGACCTGAAATTTAATCTAAATATGCCCTAAAATTGAATCTAAAAATGCCCTGAAATTGAATCTAAATATGCCCTGAAATTCATCTAAAATGCCCTGAAATTGAATATAAATATGCCCTGAAATGGAAACTAAATAAGCCCTGAAAATGAACCTAAATATGACCTGAAATTTAATCTAAATATGCCCTAAAATTGAATCTAAAAATGCCCTGAAATTAAATCTAAAAATGCCCTGAAATTGAATCTAAATATGCCCTGAAATTCAATCTAAAAATGCCCATGAATTGATTCAAAATATAGGACGTGACATCATCACGGAGCCCTTTATTTTGAACCTCTTGCACCAAGGAACAGGCAGAAGGACATTACAACTTGTTAGGTGCTTAGGTTTGGGCAGACGTGTTTGGGAAACACTGCATCGCACCATATCATCATCATCTTTGACATATTATCGCACCATATCATTGCACCATATCATCATCATCTTCGACATATCATGTATAAAATGTAAATATAAGGATTAAGAATTTATTAAAGTGTTTATTCTATGTAAATGAAAATACATATCCATATTTTTCATGAAATTTTGAGTATTTTAAACATTTAAAAAAAAAAAAAATTGTTAAAACCGAAATTATGTATGAATATATACAATTACTGTATATATAATTCACATAACACTGACTTCTAAATAAAAATATGCTTCTAAAACAGGAAAGCAATACAGAAAATTGTGCATGACAATCGTTCCCTGCAGAACAAACGGAATTAATCATGAAGACAGTTGAAGAAATTCATTACAAGAATACAATAAAGGAAAAAAAAGAACAATATTTACCTTATGTTTTTACTTAAGTCGCTGGCTTTTGTGAAGAATGTAATCGATAAATTTAAAATTATCAATATTTGATTCGATTTGTTTGATTTAAAGTCTATTAAAGATAAGACTGCATTCCTGGCCTCATATAAGCTGACCTAAATGTGTCGGACATATTTTCTTTCTTGCGAGCAACTGGTTTGCTTAAAGAGCAGTTGATACATTATCCCGGGCAGGGTTCACCCCCTTTACGTCCAGGTTACCCCCCCCCCTCCACCCCAGCAAAAAATATTATTTTATTTATTACATACTGGTAACTGAAAAATATGGAAGTCTCTGGTTAAAGAAAAATGGAACAAAGTTATTTCGTATTTTCGTCTTTCGGACCTTCGCTGACACTGGCGGTAGTTTCCTTTTACTTAATTGGATCGCAGACTAATACATCGAAAGTACTGGTGTCCGAACATTTTGGACAAATCTTGAGCGCGGGAGGGGGGGAGTGGAACTGTCATCAGAAGACACGCTTTTCAATGCTGGTAGGGACATGGTAGGTGGATGGTAGGAGCATGGTAGGTGGATGGTAGGAGCATGGTAGGTGGATGGAAGGAGCATGGTAGGGAACATGTAGGTGGATGCTGGGGGCCTTGTAGGTGGATGGTAGGCCATGGTAGGTGGATGCTGGGGGCCTTGTAGGTGGATGGTAGGCCATGGTAGGCGCATTGTAGAGGGATGGTTGAATCCTGCCAGGAAGATGGTTGAAATTAAAATGGGGACCTGGTAAAAACGGTAGGGAATTGTAAAGGGCAATTTCGGGGAATTTTGGGGCAAGATTGGGGCATGCTAGTTACATGTTAGGGGCATTGTAGAAATACCACGTAGGTAGAGCCTAGAGAGAACACACAAGTTTAATAATTTGGTCCACCAGTAAAAAAAAAAATTTTAAATAAAAGAAACAATGCTGAAGATAAGTGTAAAGAAGCCACGTCTAAATAAAACAAAACCAACACATTTCGACCAGAAGTCGAGGCAATGAAGAAAACAACCAGCTCAAAAAAAAAAAGAAGACGAAAAAAATTATCTACTGCATAGAGTGAACCAAGAAAAGAAATGAGGGGGTCAGCAGGAAATGGAGGAAATGAGGCTCTGAAGCCAACTGGAATTTTAAAACGAAAAAAGCGTCCCAAGGCCACCCCCGAGAACATATGAATTCATATGGTGAACCAATCTTATAATGTGATGTAGAAACAGATGAATATCATATGGTAAACCAATCTTATAATGTGATGTAGAAACTAGAATATTGGGCTGGGGGGGGGAGGGGGCGTTCTTTATTCAATAATTTTGACTGACCAGCTTTATTCCAGCACGTGGGTAAATAATGGCTAAATATGAAGCACCGAACTGCTGTTGGATTCAATTCTTCCCAAGCTTAATGTGTTATAAGATTGCTTGTTTATTTAATTCTAAATACTAAATGCTTTATAGACATCGCTTTTTTAAATTTAGTTCTTCCAAAACACTATCTCTGTGTTTTCTAAATGTCGCTGATTTTAGTTGTGTTCTTAAAAGCAAGTTTTACCAAGTCGGCAAGTCACGGTGTGTCACGGCGTGTCACGGTCGACACTGCGAGCAAAAATGGCGTGTACTTCCCCTTTACAAAAGATAAGCAGCAGACGATTGGTGACCTTTCTGTGCACTGTGTTACTGTAAGGAAGCCTCACTTACAAAGTTAACACAATTTTTTTTTGCAATGTTTTAAAATATAACTTTGCTTGAGTTCAATTTTTTTTTCATTAGCTTGTAAAACGAAAGTACAAATTAAAATGTTTTTCTAGCGTTAACAAATCTAAAACGATAGAGGACGAACATATATATACCAGTAAAATTATGTTAAAATTGAAAGTCCATCCCATGTCCATCACTGACCCAACATGAGTCACATTATCAACACAAAATAATCTTATTTGATCAGATTTATTTGTCAAAATATCACAATAGGGCACAGCCTCACTGACTAATGACCACATGTAAAAGTTCACTTCGGACTGATTACCGGCATTCAAGGTCAGCTCTAAAAACTGTAAGACATAACTCTAGCTCAGACAGCATAATGTTGGGGGGGGGGGGGCATCGGGGCCATCTGACTAATGACCACATGTAAAAGGTCCCTTCGGACTGATTACCGGCAATCAAGGTCAGCTCTAAAAACTGTAAAGCATAACTCTAGCGCAGACAGCATAATGTTGGGGGGGGGGGGCATCGTGGCCATACGTGCACGTGACACAGAACGGTCGTGTCAAGGACGACAGAAGCCGATGACGCAGTTGTAAACCTCGTGCTGGCCCCTCACAACAGACGCGAAAACCAAACGTCACCATCTTGGGGGGAAAGTGGCAGACGACGTCAAGGGGGAAAAAAATGGAGAGTTTCAACCTCCGAGGAGCTGTGGCCTTCATCTCGGTATCAGGTTGTTGATGTGGTTGGCCGGCATCACCATGCGGTGCAGTGAGCCGCGTCGTTTCTTGCAGTGGCAGGTGAGAATTCTCCAGAACGTTCGTCGGAAGTTGACGTTGCACAGCGCGTAGCAAAGCGGGTTGATGGTACTGTTGATGTAGCACAACCAATAGCCTGGGTGGACGAGAAGAACAAGAAAAGTTGTTTGTCAATGGACATTTTTAATTAGGCGGTTAAATAAGTTTAATTTAGGAGGTTAAATTAGGAGGTTAAATTAGGAGGTTAAATTAGGAGGTTAAATTAGGAGGTTAAATGAGGAGGTTCAATGAGGAGGTTCAATCAGGAGGTTCAATCAGGAGGTTCAATCAGGAGGTTAAATCAGGAGATTAAATCAGGAGGTTAAATGAGGAGGTTAAATGAGGAGGTTAAATTAGAAGGTTAAATGAGGAGGTTAAATCAGGAGGTTAAATTAGGAGGTTAAATGAGGAGGTTAAATGAGGAGCTTAAATTAGGAGGTTAAATTAGGAGGTTAAATTAGGAGGTCAAATTAGGAGGTTAAATTAGGAGCTTAAATTAGGAGCTTAAATTAGGAGGTTAAATTAGGAGGTTAAATTAAGAGGTTAAATCAGGAGGTTAAATCAGGATGTTAAATTAGGAGGTTAAATTAGAGGAGGTTAAATTAGGAGGTTAAATTAGGAGCTTAAATTAGGAGCTTAAATTAGGAGCTTAAATTTGGAGCTTAAATTTGGAGCTTAAATTAGGAGCTTAAATTAGGAGGTTAGAACAAACCAGCAAGCAGATAATGAAACACAACAGAACGCTATCAGAAGATATTAATCCAATTATTGTTTCATTATCACGATTCCAAAATTGAGTGACTGTAAACGAACCGTACAATCACGTCATCCGTGCCTTCTTTCTGGTCCGAGGGTGCTAGACAAGACAAATGTAAGGGCGTCGGTTGTAAAAAGTTTAGAAAAATCTGAAACGACTATTTATTTATTACATTTAAAAAAAAAAAATGTGTTGGTTTTTTTTTTTTTTTTTGGGGGGGGGGGGTATTTAATATTTTCTTTGAACTTTGACCTGACAATAGAGCACCAACGTTGATTGAAACCACCAAAGTCAATGACTGGGCTTGTTTCTTGGACAGACCGTTTGTTGTGAAATGACCGTGACCTCAATGTGACGATCTGAAGCTGGACTTTGTAAAATGTCTTCCAACGTAAATCCACCCATGGAAACCCTTGTAAAATAGCACCTTTCCCTCCCTCAAGTTGCCCCGCAGTCGCTTAGCACGAGTGAGTTCCCTTTGTGTTATCACATTTCTACTCAAAGCCGCTCATCCCAAAAAGCGTGCATTCTGTGTTCAAAACTTCTCACCGATGAACCTTGAGAAATTAATACCATCACCCCCCTCATTTTTGCCCTGGAGACAGCAAAGCGGAGTATCGTCCCTTGTTGTTATTGAATTTCTAAACCAGAAAACTCACGCCAAAGCGTGAATTTGGATTTTCACCCCAGCCCGATAAACTTTGAGGGGTAAGGTTAAACCCGCAATATGAAAAGCGATTGTCATTGGATGGGAAAACATACAACATTTAAATCACCCAATTGAATCATCACCTAATCGACACCCAACTCGAATAAATAGCCTGAACAAGCAAGAATCTGCCTTTTATGATCTGATCACTTGACCGTGGACGGTGGAAGGATCTAGACTTAGAACTTCTTTAGCGTGATACATAACTGCAACCTAGGATATTAGCAAGTATATGTCTTTTAAGATCTGATCACTTGATTGTGGACGCTTGAAGTGACTAGACTTAGTACTTCACTATCGTGATACTTAACTGCTACCTAGAGTACAAGTAAGTACGCAACCATGATTTGGATATTATAGTATTGCACTTGTATTGTTCATATAGCTATGTAGCCATTATTCGATCGCGTTTGATCTTATTCTAATAATGCCTATATTACTTTATATTGATATTATGAATTCTATTATTGCTTTTGCCGCGGGCTACGACACGCCACCATCCCATTATGGGGATGGTAGGTTGTTGTTCCAAATCGCCCATGTCTTTTTTAACGAGAAGACAATATGTATACTATGAATCTGTAAATTTAATGATTGATAATGTTCCGGAACAGGGACACGCTTCTAGAACAGAAGGAGCTCCCACCCTTCGTGATCCACCGAGATCCTCACAGAATTATAAAGGCTAAGTCAACAAAGATTGAGCATAGAAACTTGAGCAATTTAGCATGGATAATGATGATACCGTTAGCATGTTAGGGACACTAAGACTTGCTTTGCATTGATTTACTTTTCTAATTGGACGAAATCAATTTGATGTATATATATTGATCATCTAGTGTATTACGGAAGAATTTGTATATATCATTATTCAATAAATACTTATAGTTATTTCTCATTTAAGAAAGACTTCGATTCAGTCTATACTATATGTCTATAGATAGGTTGTTGTGTCTGTGTGGTAATTTGGCTTAAATAACGTATCCCTAGACAGAGTGGCAAGAGGAGATCTCATACGAGAGGTACTCCTCACTAAGATCATAAGTCAGATCACCACACTCAAGAGTGAGCAGTGCTGGTAGTCATGTGTGCAGATCTTACTCCCCTAGACATAACTATACAAGCCGCATTATATATATAGCAGCTCTTGCAATGGAAATATGCATTATTAGCACGATGATACAACAGTTGAATTATATATAGCACCATGATACAACAGTCTTTTTTATGTCTCTAGCACCATGATACAACAGTAGAATTATATATAGCACCATGATACTACAGTCTTTTTTATGTCTCTAGCACCATGATACAACAGTAGAATTATATATAGCACCATGATACTACATTCTTTTTTATGTCTTTTGCACCATGATACAACAGTAGAATTATAATAGCACATGATACTACATTCTTTTTTATGTCTCGAGCACCCTGATACAACAGTAGAATTATATATAGCACCATGATACAACTGTAGAATTATATATAGCACCATGATACTACATTATTTTTTATGTCTTTAGCACCATGATACAACAGTAGAATTATATATAGCACCATGATACAACAGTAGAATTATATATAGCACCATGATACTACATTCTTTTTTATGTCTCTAGCACCCTGATACAACAGTAAAATTATATATAGCACCATGATACTACAGTCTTTTTTATGTCTCTAGCACCATGATACAACAGTAGAATTATATATAGCACCATGATACAACAGTAGAATTATATATAGCACCATGATACAACAGTAGAATTATATATAGCACCATGATACAACAGTAGAATTATATATAGCACCATGATACTACAGTCTTTTTTATGTCTCTAGCACCATGATACAACAGTAGAATTATATATAGCACCATGATACAACAGTAGAATTATATAGTCGTTTATAACATTCCCCGTTAGACGATATGGTTATTTCCCCCCCCCCCCCTCTGCTGTTCTTCCTCCCGTATTAAAAGTAAACGAAATCCATTTGGAGCTAGGAAATACATTTTAAAAAAAAGAAAGATAGAGTGGCAATTACAAAAAAATAAATAAATGTTAAAAAAAAATTAATTAAAAATTAACGTTTATCCAAAAGAGGAAAGTTTCTTTTGAAAGAATTACTCTCTACTCGCATGTCCATTTTGTGGAGCGTAGTTACTATTATTATTTTTTTACTCACGTAAAATTTTGAAACTTTCTCGTGCAATGTTCACTTTATCCTGCTTCACCATGAAAGGGTGGGTGAGCTCAGATCTACTTTTTCATTTTAGGTAAAGAGTTAAGTCACCTTCAACTGGATTTTGTAAGCAAATCGATGTTTTAAAAATTGAACAATTATACTTGTGTGGATAATTTAAATATTATAATTTTAATACTCATTAAAAAAAAAATTAAACGCACTGAAGGGTGGTTAGAATATAATTTAAAAAATTTTCAAAAAATTTGAAAAAATAATTTGTTTTAAATGTTTTTTTATCGTCTGCTTGTGAGCTATTCAATAGTCAATAACGACATTCCCCGTAAGTTACCAAAATGATAGACATACAGCAAAATGTCGTGATCATCAAACTTCAGGAGGCGGTAAATTAGGTCCCCATTAAATGGAAGCGGATATGGATTATAATTGAAGGACTGTATTCAAACTGTGTGAATGAAATAGTAAAACAGGGCCTGGTGTAGCTTGAATCAAAAGACAGAACAATATGATTTGAACGTTTCGGCTTAGAGCCTTCTGAGCAAACAGGACAAGAAACAGAGCGCGGTAAAAAAAAAAATAAAAAAAAAACTTTAGAGATTTCCTTTGTTTTTGACGATATGGAGGACCCATTTCACCCCCCCCTCCCACACCCTTTACTCATATCTTAAGCCCTCACATAACACAAGGTGGATCCACCCATGAGCTCAATAAAGGCGCCCCTGGCATATCTTCATTCAAAGGTTAAGAATGTCTTAAACTACTATTTATAACTACAGAATCAAAATGGGAGGAAATAAATGATTGAGTTGGACTATCTCCGTATGAGAAACTCTTCTTCCAACACTTCTCTTCCTTTTTGTCCGCACTGAATACAGCTTGGCAATATTAGTTGAAAATGTTTCAAACAATTTCACAAATTTGTAGGGAAAAAATAAACAACAACAAAAAAAATCAAAAATCAACCCAACTCGTCATAGCAACCCCACCCCTATCCCCTTCCTTTAAAAAAAATATAAGAACTTTCGATTTTGGACATTGCAGAAAATGAGTAGAAATGTCTTGCAGATAACATGAAAAACGGCCAAAAGATGAGATAGATGTAGAGCGCCGTCTGTGTACATCTGTCCAGACAAGACACCCCACATCAATACCTTTCTTGCCCTCGGCCAAGTTCTCGAGCGCTGGTTGTGTGGCTGTGATTTCATCTTCGCAATCTCCTCATCACAATAATGGAGTATATAAAAAAAAAAAAAAACGTTCGCCCCCTCCCCCTCACTTCTGGCGTTAAAAAAAAAACAACAACAACCTGGTTGTGTGGCTGTGATTTCATCTTCCCAATCTCCTCATCACAATAAAGGAGTATAAAAAAAAAAAAAAAACGTTCGCCCCCTCCCCCTCACTTCTGGCGTTAAAAAAAAAACAACAACAACCTGACTGGTGGCTGTAGATGGCATCCATGGATTGGTGTCAGAAGTGGACACAATGGGTCACGTCCCCAGAAATGAACACAATCGGTCACGTCCCCAGAAGTGGACACAATCCGTCACGTCCCCAAACGTGACCACTGAGAGTGTACTTTACGTGGCCGTCAGAGTGAGCAGGCGGTGGGGTGATACAATAACATGGGGGAGAGGGGGGAGGGCAAGGCCGAGGATAACAATGGCTATTTGGACTCACTTCCTCCAGACTCGTGAGTGGACACTGATGGTTAAATATAACCTGGTTTGAGGGGGGGGGGGGGACTATGGGTTGGGAGGATTATGTGAATCAGGTCATTCATTCAGATCGTATATTTCGTAAGGAGGAGTTCATCATCAATGAAAAAATGTGCTGTTGGAAGTCGTAAAGCCGGTTGTGATGGAATGTGCTGTTGGAAGTCGTAAAGCCGGTTGTGATGGAATGTGCTGTTGGAAGTCGTAAAGCCGGTTGTGATGGAATGTGCTGTTGGAAGTCGTAAAGCCGGTTGTGATGGAATGTGCTGTTGGAAGTCGTAAAGCTGGTTGTGATGGAATGTGCTGTTGGAAGTCGTAAAGCCGGTTGTGATGGAATGTGCTGTTGGAAGTCGTAAAGCCGGTTGTGATGGAATGTGCTGTTGGAAGTTGTAAAGCAGGTTGTGATGGAATGTGCTGTTGGAAGTCGTAAAGCCGGTTGTGATGGAATGTGCTGTTGGAAGTCGTAAAGCAGGTTGTGATGGAATGTGCTGTTGGAAGTCGTAAAGCCGGTTGTGATGGAATGTGCTGTTGGAAGTCGTAAAGCCGGTTGTGATGGAATGTGCTGTTGGAAGTCGTAAAGCCGGTTGTGATTTTACATTTTTGATCTAACTTAGCGTGCGTTAACTTTTGTTAGAAAGTAATAACATGTGCGTGTATTGGTGTGTTTGTTCTGTAATAATGTGCCTACATTGACTTGTTCGTTCTGTAACAATGCATGGTGACTCAATAATCCATTCTAATGGTGTTGTCTTATAGGTGGTAAGACTATGAGCCGTGTCTCATCCACTAGGTCTTAGATACATAATAGAATCGCATGCCGACCGCACCATTGTGTGCATAGTAGTGTCCAACAAGCACATAGTCTCATAGGTCAATGGACTCTGGCTTCTAACGAGGTCAGTGTACCCTGGCTTCTAATGAGGTCAGTGCACCCTGGCTTCTAATGAGTTCAATGCACCAAAGCTCCTAATGAGGTCAGTGCACCCTGGCTTCTAATGAGGTCAGTGCACCCTGGATTCTAATGAGGTCAGTGGACCCTGGTTTCTAATGAGGTCAGTGCACCCTGGCTTTTAATGAGGTCAGTGCACCCTCGCTTCTAACGTTGCGTAATAATAATATTTAGAAATTACTGAAACAACACCTTAACAGTTTTAAATATAAAAAAAACAACTAAATCTCGTGTCGCTTAAATTTCAATTAATTGTTTTTTTTTAAAAAAAAAAAGGGGGGGGGGTAAGTGTGGCTTTAAAACAGTAAAATTATGAGAAAACACACCCAAGCCGTTTGAGGACCAGTTGGGGCCCCTGAATTTGTAGAGAAGTTTCACAGGCCCAGTTTCAGACAAGTCCAAGAAACTAAACAGATAAGACTCTCCCCCCCTGCCCCCCCCCCACCGGACCCCCAGACCAGCTGTCAATGAAATCTTCGGCCACAGTCGTAGCGAGTGTCCATTGATCCCATTCAATGTTTCCATTTCATTAAGTCGTGTCCACTCGGGGCCCCCATGTCCAAACAAACCCCCGCGGAGGAAACCTGTTGGTAGATTCCTCAAGAACTTCCAGTGGTTGATTCAATTTAAAAGCATGCCAAGTTGGGGGGGGGGCGGATAGGGGAGTGAGGGTGGGGCCTTTAAGTGGAGGTGTAGATGTTAGTGGGGGCCGAGAGGTTGATGGTGGGGGGGGGGGGGGGGGGGGGGGGGGGGGGGGGCCGTGAGGGGGGGGTGTGGAGGGGGGGGGGGGGGGAGAGGGGGGGGGGGGGGGGAGATATGAGGGAGGGTGGGGGCGTGTGAAGAGCCAGTGAAGAGCCAGTGAAGAGCCAGTGAGGAGCCAGTGAAGAGCCAAGTTGAAGAATAGAATGGCAGATTAATTTATACATGAGGAAAGAAATCCACCATTAGACCAAATAATCGACCGCACTTTCAACCATTACATTCAGTATTTTTAGCAACACTTGAAGAAGTATTTTTTTAATATATATATATAAATGTATCCTGCTTAGACACAACTTAGCTCAAAATACTGAATGCAAGGATCTTGAAGATAAAGCTTAGACACAACTTAGCTCAAAATACTGAATGCAAGGATCTTGAAGATAAAGCTTAGACACAACTTTGCTCCAAATTACGGAATACAAGGGTCTTGAAGATAAAGCTTAGACATAACTTAGCTCAAAATTACGGAATATAAGATAATAGTCTTGAAGATTTAGACATAACTTAGCTCAAAAGTACTGAAGACAAGGGTCTTTAAGATAAAGCTTAGACATAGACTACATAGAGATTAAGCATCATGCCTGCTTTGTAAGATTAGTATTTTTTTTATTTAACTGAGAAAATGCAATTGTTAATCAGTCATGGTGAGAATCTGTGGATGTTGAAATTTCGAAAGGCACAATTAATATTTTTTTTAAAAATTTTAATATTATTTAACAAATATTGTATTTTACTAATATTTAATAATTTTTTTTATTATTTTACTACTATAATATAAATATTGTATTTACTATTATTTTATAAATATTGTATTTAGCTATTATTTTATAAATATTGTATTTTACTAATATTTTTAAATAATGTATTCTACTATTCATTTTTATAAATATTTTATATTACTATTATTTTATAAATATTGTTTTTTTTTTACTAATAATTTATCAATATTGTGTTTACTATCTGACAACTGCGACAGTATTACACAACACATTTCTGTACTATCTGACAACTGCGACAGTATTACACACCCCATTTCTGTACTATCTGACAACCTCGACAATATTACGCAACAAATTTCTGTACTATCTATTAAACAACACATTTCTGCACTACCTGGCAACTGCAACAATATTACACAAACGTGTCTGTATTACCTGGCAATTTCGACAATATTTAACAAGACAGCTTTGTGTTACTTGACAATTTCAACAATATTAAACAAGACAGTTTTGTGCTACCTGGCAGTTTCAACAATCTTAAACTAGACAATTTTGTGCTCCTTGATAATTTCGACAATATTAAACAAGACAATGTCTGTACCTCCGGAAATGGTTACCAGCCTACACATGATATTTGTGTACCGTGACAACTGTCACCTAGGATTCTGTTGACTGTGACATCGAAGGAGGGGATACATCAGATACAATATTTTAATTAAAACTAAAATTCTAATCCCAGCCATGTCGTCGATGTTGACAGAGTGACGTCCTTGACCTTCATGACTATTGATTTCATGGTGTTGGAAACGCCTGTCCTTGACCTATGTGGAAACTGTGGAGGTCTCATATGAGCCAGCGCATAAGGCGTTTTGGTGTCATATGGTGTTTATGTAATGTGGTGTGTTGGTGTAATACGGTGTGTTGGTGTAATACGGTGTGTTGGTGAAATACGGTGGGTTGGTGTAATACGGTGTGTTGGTGAAATACGGTGGGTTGGTGTAATACGGTGTGTTGGTGTAATACGGTGTGTTGGTGAAATACGGTGGGTTGGTGTAATACGGTGTGTTGGTGAAATACGGTGGGTTGGTGAAATACGGTGGGTTGGTGAAATACGGTGTGTTGGTGAAATACGGTGTGTTGGTGAAATACGGTGTGTTGGTGAAATACGGTGTGTTGGTGAAATACGGTGTGTTGGTGCAGCATCTCAGAATCTCAAGACCCCTGTAACTCAGACCCTTTAGCTATGACCCCTGTGGCTCACACCCCTGTACCTCAGATCCCTATGAAACAGACCCTTGTAACTCAGACCCTTTAGCTATGACCCCTGTGGTTCACACCCCTGTACCTCAGATCCCTATGAAACAGACCCCTGTAACTCAGACCCTTTAGCTATGACCCCTGTGACTCACACCCCTGTACCTCAGATCCCTATGAAACAGACCCCTGTAACTCAGACGTCTTCACCTCGGTACACTTTTAACAACACGTTGTATTTTTACCACCCTTTGCCACAGGCATCATTCCTAGCTTTGTATCACTGGCAACTGAGAGACATAAAGGGCATCGAATGACACTGGCACTGTTTTCTGCAACCACCCACATCTCTTTCCAACCACCCACATCTCTTGCCAACTACCCACATCTCTTGCCAACCACCCACATCTCTTCCCAACCACCCACATCTCTTGCCGACCACCTAAATCTCTTGCCAACCATCCACATCTCTTGCCAACCACCCACATCTCTTTCCGACCACCCACATCTCTTGCCGACCAAAAACATCCCTTGCCAACTACACTCATCCCTTGCCAACCACCAAATCGCGCCCACCCCCCACAGACCGGAAGTCCTTCCCCAATTTCGCCATAATGTGGGTGAGGACATTCGATTGTGAGCCAACGGGCTACAATTTCAACCTCCAACCCAAATGATCTACAAGCTCTCAATTATACGGTAGAGAACTCAGAAATCTCGAGGTAATGCTCTCCCCTAGATCAGTGAGGTCACATGTTCCGCCCCGAAGAGCTCAGACTCCGGCTCGGAGAAGGCCCGTCACAATAGCAATAGGAGAAGAGCCCCCGGGCTTCGCTCTGAAATAAGGGAGGATTTAACTTGAATGCTTCCTCTTTAAAAGTGTTACATTAGTCACGGAGTTACGCCCCCCAAGCCCCCCACGAGTTGCTTGCAGTTGACAAGGGACTACGAGACAGGCTTAGTAGCGCCTTTTAAAATAGAAGAAGAGAAAGACGAGGAGAGGGGAAGGGAAGAACATAGTCATATCATTTTTGTAATTCGTATGTGTGTGTGTGTGTGTTCTTTTTTTTTTTAGTTTCGGTTCGGGAAACTGCTATATAACAACATCACAAGAATTTACAAAGAAAATATCAAACGTTTTTCAGGTTGCCAGGTGTCCACTATTTGAGAGAGTTCAGTCTGCTTTTTTTTTCACATCATGTTCATTATTTTTTTCACAAAATAGTGGACATTTTTTATTCAAAAGCTTTATGATGAAATTGTACATAATCTAAAGCTGAACAGTCTAAGACAGGGGTCTCAAACTCAAATCATCCGGGAGCCGCAGGAGGTAGAGTCTGAGTAAGACTGGGCCGCAGGAGGTAGAGTCTGAGTAAGACTGGGCCGCAGGAGGTAGAGTCTGAGTAAGACTGGGCCATATCAAGTACTCTACACAAAAAAGCCTTTTGCAAAGTCAATAAAGTAAAACTGTTACGATCTGCTCAACCTTTATTAAAAACAAATCAAAACATTAATGGTTCCTAAGAACTAAAAGATTCACTTTCTTCCTCCTACTCCTTGTTGCCAGAGACCTGGCAGCGCTTCTTCTTACACAGCTGATCAATATGTGGCTTGAGTGAGGAGGCAACTGAGACCCTCAGTACAGCTTGAAGATGCTCATCAATAAGTTTGGCCCTGAATTTTGACTTGCTAAAGTTCATAGACGAAAAGAGCTTTTTACACAGATAGGTACTCCCAAAAAGGCCCATGATCCGCTTGAACAACCTGGAAATCTCAGGGAAGGTGGAGGGCAATGCTCTCATAAATTAAGCATGCTTTTCTGTTTTTGCATTGGCCTCCCTAAACTTAGAATTGCACTTGAGATCAATTAGCTTCATTGAAGCACAAGTGTGTGTGTGTGTGTGGGGGGGGGAGGAAGGGGGGGGGAGTCATCTTCCAAAATTGAAGGAGGAATGGTCATCGAAAAATTGAAAAGTTACTCTCATAAATTAAGCATGCTTTTCTGTTTTTGCATTGGCCTCCCTAAACTTAGAATTGCACTTGAGATCAATTAGCTTCATTGAAGCACAAGTGTGTGTGTGTGTGTGGGGGGGGGAGGAAGGGGGGGGAGTCATCTTCCAAAATTGAAGGAGAAATGGTCATCGAAAATTTGAAAAGTTACTCTGTCTGTTTTGAAGTCTAAAAGATGTGATCAAATTCTTCCTGTAGCTGTGCAATGGCATCAGTATGCTTACTACTGAAGAGTGTGCCCGAATCCATGAGTACTTTTCATCTTAAAATGGCAGAGGTTTCTCTAAGAACCATAACACAAGTTTTGTGCAGAATGCCCTGACATTGTCATTGGCAACACTGACAAGCTGGACCTGATCTTGTAACTTCTTGTGGAATAAATTCAGCTCCCGTGTAATGTCTACAAGAAAAGCCAGTCCATGAGCCATTTAGGATCACTTAGTACAGGAACAACCACCCCATCCTTCTTCATGAAGGCTTTAAATGCTAAAACGTGTTCAAACTGTAGGCAGGAGCAGGTCACATTTATGAATGATTGATGCGATGGAAGATGATATTATAGGGAGAATGAATTTTGATTTTTTTTTATCGAAGAAAAGGCCCTTTTGACTAACCCTAATTTGAAAGTGACCACAAGCTGACGAGTTTGGAATTTCTCTCACTTGTAAACACTAGCCGATTTTAATAGGGATTCTTTGATACTGTGTCGGATTGCTACGATTTACACAATTATTGTTGTGCATTACCCACCAACTGACTGTTAAAACTTCTCTCAAGACCGCACCTTGGCCGCCATTTTTGTCTCAGAAAATTCTATGAAATAAAAACAGTCCGAAGAGTCCGACTTTTTACAACGGTTCTCACACCATTATCATCAACGTCCAAATCTAAACAAACATAAGACAAATCAGAATTAGACTAGTCGGTGAGATTCTACTGAAACTTTCGCGGAGGGTCACAATATAGAAAAGAGAATGGGGAAAATGCGCGGGCCGCATTAACACAAAACTCTGCTGTCATGTAGCGGGCCGAAACAATTGTCTTGCGGACCGCAAATGGCCCGCGAGCCGCAAGTTTGAGACCCCTGGTTTAAGAGAATAAGGATAGGAGAATCGCGTTTTGTCTTTTTTTTTCATAAGTTCGAATAAGACTAAGATCGAATATCCATTGAACTCGATTATATATAATATTAATAATATATATTTTTTTAAAATTATTATTCTCCGACTTAACACCACCCCACCCCCCACCCCCACGGCTTGTCTGCTATTTTTTGGAAGTAGACCTGGCAAAGCTAAAGGTGTTAGTCATTTTAATAAGTTGACTTTGGCTCTATAAACTTTCTCCTGTGCTGAAACCTCTCCCCCACCCCCCCCCCAACCCCACGTGAGGAGTGTACTGACCCCTAACAATAAAATGCCCACTTTGTTCCATCCTTACCTCCATAATGACCTGCACTGGCTGGCTCACTTCCGTGTAAGCCAGGGAATCATGGACCACTTTACATGGTACACCCAAACGTGGCGGGCGGGTGACTGATGGAAGGTGAGTTTTATGAAGGGAGATTTAAACGGAAACAGTGGTTTCTTCAAAAGTTTAAACTCATCGCCCCCCCCCCCACACACACACACACTTTTTCCGGAGTCAAACAGTTATTTACTACAACCCTTTCATGGTGACAGTCATACGCTGGGAAACACGGTCTATGACTTTGTGGATTTCAAAGGGCGCTAACAGGCTCCTAACGGAGTAACGAGTACAAAGCATGGTGAGTGAAGGGAACATATTATGGAATATTGAGTATTGGTGTATGGTAATGGGTATAGAGAGTACGGTATAGGGTGCAAAGAGTGTGGTATAGGGTACAGAGAGTGTGGAATAGAGTATAGAGAGTGTGGTATAGGGTGGATATAATATGGTATAGGGTACAGAGAGTGTGGAATAGGGTTTAAGTGTGGTATAGGGTATAGATAGTGTGTTATAGGGTATAGAGAGTGTGGTATAGGGTAGAGAGGGCGAAATAAGTTACAGAGAGTGCGGTACGGGGTACAGAGTGCGGTACAGGGTACACAGAGTGTGGAATAGCGTATAGAGAGTGTGGTATATGGTATAGAAAGTGCGGTATAGGTTGCAGAGAGTATGGTATAGGGTACAGAGAGTGCGGTATAGGGAACAGAGAGTGTGGTATAGGGTACAAAGAGTGTGTTGTAGGGTGCAGAGAGTGCATTTTAGGGTGCAGAGAGTGTGTTGTAGGGTGCAGAGAGTGCATTTTAGGGTGCAGAGAGTGTGATATAGGGTAGAGAGGGCGAAATAAGTTACAGAGAGTGCGGTAGGGGGTACAGAGTGCGGTACAGGGTAGAGAGAATGCGGTACAGAAGTAAGATGCATGTTAGTAACAGGTTTTAGTCGAAACTCTCGGCGTTACTGCCATACAGTTGCTTTTAAATACCTTACAATGGTTTTTAATTACTTTACAAAGTGTTTTTAGTTACCTTACAAATTGTTTTTAATTACCTTACAGTTTCTTTTAATTACCTTACAATTAAGATAAGATAAAGATAAGATTCTTTTATTGATCCAAATAAATGGAAATGTTTTTTGATTGCATTATTTTCAGCACATAAATAAAACATTTGCACGCAAGATATTTATAATAAATTATCTCAAACATCCATTCAGTGAGTTCTCTTAGCAAAATCGGGGACTTATTAGTTCTCATTCAGATGTGTGACTTCAGAGGAAGCACGCCGGTAAATTCGTACAGATTGGGGAACAAAAGAATTTTTATATCTGTCAGTCCTCGCCCTGATGGAAAGAATTCGTCCCGAACGGCCCGATCCTAAGTATCTGTGATGAAGAGGGTGGGGTGCATAATCCAAAATGTGTTAAGTTTTACAATAACATCTTTCTTCAAATAGTTCTTCAAGCGAAGGATGTTTAGTTTGTGTTAAGTTCCTAGCTTTCTTGATTAGTCGGCTTATGCGATGTTTAATATCAGACGTTGAAATCCCACAATATAAATGAAAGGACTGCTTTCAAGCTTAGTAAATGAATGAAATAGCGAAACGAGGTATGTGGAAGCTTGAAATAAGATAACAGGACAAAAAATCATGTAAAGACTCCATACCTTTCTCACAACTTCTTAGACTACGGCGTCTCTGCCAAATTGATGAGGAATTTCTAGAAAGAGCTGATGAAATTATGGATTTCTTCCTCTCCAGATCCTATCCTGAAACTACTCTTGGCTCAGCACTAGATCGCATCAGCACGATCACACGAAAAGAGAAGTTCAAAACTCGCCCAAACAACAATGAAGATCGTACCAAACTTATACTAACCTACCACCCTCACAATTTAACTGCCAAAAAATATTCCTAAAAAAATCGTAGCATACTTCTTGCTGACCCTGATACCAACAGTGTTTTCTCATCCCTTCCACTGATTGTCTTTAGACGGGACAGAAATCTAGGTGATCTTCTGGTTCATAGTCGCCTTAGATCTGAACCGTCTTACGTTGGTACTAAACCATGCTTAAGAGGCCGTTGCAGGACGTGTCCCTTTACACTCCAAACTGAAAGCATTAGCCTCCCTGAAGGTACCGTTACCATTAAAGAGGGTTTCACCTGTGTCAGCCGTAATGTAAAATATGCTATTGTGTGCCGTAGATGCCAATCTAGTTACATAGGTGAAACTGGGAGAAGATTGGCTGATAGGTTTACTGAACATCTAAGGGATATTGAGCAATGCAAACCTTCCACAGTCTCTTCTAATTTCAACAGAAAAGAACATAAAGGTGCATTGGATGTAACCATTACGGCACTGATTTCATGCAGTAACATACCACATAGGGTTGAAATAGAAAATAAATTTATTCAGCTGTTTGGCACCATATCTCCATATGGTATTAATCAAATAATATCTTACTGATGTGTCTCTGTTTCCTTATACTTCATCTATTTTCTTATTGCTGTGTGTTGATGTATCCCTGGATATTCTGGTCCATTATTATTGTGGACTTCATTTTTCACAGTGTCAATATTTATATTCTCTCGCTTCCTGTGTTCCCACTTACGGCGACACGAATGGATACTGCTTGAGTTGTCTACTGTGCTCTTTTCTTTGTTATATTTTCATTTCTATTGTGGGCTGAGGAAGGCTTTATGCCGAAAGTCCTTGTCTTTTGTCCTGTTATCTTATTTCAAATTACGGCCCATTTTGAAAACGTGTGGCCATTTGGAGCCCGGCAGTGGCCATTTGGAGCCCGGCTGTGGCCAGTTGGAGCCCGGCAGTGGTCAGTTGGAGCCCGGCAGTGGCCAATTGGAGCCCAGCAGTGGCCAGTTGGAGCCCGGCAGTCGCCAGTTGGAGCCCGGCAGTCGTCAGTTGGAGCCCGGCAGTGGCCAGTTGGAGCCAGGCAGTGGCCATTTGGAGCCCGGCAGTCGCCAGTTGGAGCCCGGCAGTGGCCGCCATACTGTGTCTTCCCCCCTAACGACATTTCCACGCCAACAATTGACGCCAAACACAAGTGACCTAATATGGTAATTAACTTAGCCGCTGAGAGCCGTCCCCAGTGGGCCCGTCAGTCGGCCGACATGTGTGTGTGTGTGGGGGGGGGGCCAAACTGAGATTAACACCTTTTTAGGCAGCGCTAACGCACGATAACGTCCGTCACGAGGGGAACTTGGAATAATGAAATACAAATGTTCTCCAGAAATGTTGACGGTGGACAGCGACATAGTTGGAACTCATTCTCACACATTCGACTCCTAGGATGTTAAACTAACTGGGTGCATGGCAGTGTAATGTCCACGGTGGTCAAACTAACTGGGTGCATGGCAGTGTAGTGTCCACGGTGGTCAAACTAACTGGGTGCATGGCAGTGTAATGTCCACGGTTGTCAAACTAACTGGGTGCATGGCAGTGTAATGTCCAGGGTTGTCAAACTAAGTGGGTGCATGGCAGTGTAATGTCCACGGTTGTCAAACTAACTGGGTGCATGGCAGTGTAATGTCCACGGTTGTCAAACTAACTGGGTGCATGGCAGTGTAATGTCCAGGGTTGTCAAACTAAGTGGGTGCATGGCAGTGTAATGTCCACGGTTGTCAAACTAACTGGGTGCATGGCAGTGTAATGTCCACGGTTTTCAAACTAACTGAGTGCATAGCACTGGGTGCACGGCTGGGTAGAATGAAATAGAGGCGCATATGTTATATTTAAGGATTAAAAAATATTATTGGAAGACTTTTAATGCCAAAACTGTGTGTGTGTGTGTGAGTGTGTATGTGTGTGTGTCGACAACAATGATTTCTTAATTTAACAATAATTTTGATCTTATTTGCTGTTTTATCATATTTATTTACTGACCCTACCACCCCTGCTTAAGCCTTGTTTAGCCTTGTTTTACCCCTGTTTTACCCCTGTTTTACCATCGATGTAATGAAACTAGAAACACCTGGGAATTTAGTTAATTGTAATCATAAAATATTCAAGAAGAGATAGAATCATCAAAATTCCCATTAAAATCAAGTCGGAGTGTCCATTACGCTGAGGGCAATCCATGATTTGTCAGCACTAGAAATATTTACTTAACTTGAATCACCGCGCGGAATTGATCAAGCTTTCCTACTGAAACTGCCAAGTTCAAGAATCAGGTTGCCGAATGTCCTTTCAAGATAGAAGTTTTAGGTTCATCTGTTAGGCTGCAGTCATTGGCATAAAGCGACATGAAGTGCTACTATTTATTTTAAATACCCCAGTGATCCTCGAGCACATCTGGACCCCAATGACCACAGTGACCCTCGACCACATCTGGACCCCAGTAACCCAAGTGACCCTCGACAAAATCTGGAACCCAGTAACCCAAGTGACCCTTGACCCCATCTGGACCCCAGTAACCCAAATGACCCTCGACCACATCTGGACCCCAGTAACCCAAGTGACCCTCGACCACATCTGAACTCCAGTGAACCTTGACCCCATCTGGACCACAGTAACCCAAGTGACCCTCGACCCCATCTGGACCCCAGTGACCCTCGACCCCATCTGGACCCCAGTAAACCAAGTGACGCTCTACCACATCTAGATCCCAGTAACCCAAATGACCCTCGACTACATCTGGACCCAAGTGACCCACGGACCCATCTGGACCCCATTTCGGCCCCCCCTCCGCCCTTTCTCTGAAGGATGTGATGTTACTCAGAAACAAAATTCAATATTGAAATATTTACAGACAGATGTATCGACCACTTTTATTATTTAAAAAATATAATAATCTCTAAACCAATTTTCCAATCCAACCCAATCGCCTTCCTATTGGTTACTTTAAAATTCTAATACTAAACTAATTTTAATTTAAGAATCGTATTGACAGTTTCTTCTGTCAACTGATTTGAGAAATAAGGCGAATGTAAAAAAAAGAAGAAAAAAAGGAAGAGACCTGGGGTCAAGCTAATTTCCACTTAAAGGTGTGTTTGTGTCTGTAGGCTGTACAATTTGCGCACAAAAAAATTGATGGTGTAAAAATGTGCACACAACTTTATGATTTTGCACACGACCAACAAACCTTAGAGGGGAACATTGGTTGGGGAACATGTTTTTAAGGCATCTGAACATGTTTTTAAGGCATCTGAACATGTCTTTAAGGCATTTGAACATATTTTTGTGATATTTTGCTATAAATAGACATGCGGATGAATATTTTGACGGACTTAACCTTACACTTGAACAACAAGGAAAAGGCTTGGTGCCGTCCTGTGGATACAACAAATGGTGCCGTCCTGTGGATACAACAAATGGTGCCGTCCTGTGGATACAACAAATGGTGCCGTCCTGTGGATACAACAAATGGTGCCGTCCTGTGGATAGAACAAATGGTGCCGTCCTGTGGATACAACAAATGGTGCCGTCCTGTGGATACAACAAATGGTGCCGTCCTGTGGATACAACAAATGCTGCTGCCCTGTGGATACAACAAATGGTGCCATCCTGTGGATACAACAAATGGTCCCGTCCTGTGGATACAACATGTTTTCTTTCAGTGGATACAAAAAATGTTTCCCGTCCGCGAATTCAACAATTGTCGCCTTTCTGTGGATACAATGCAAAATATACACATCACCACATAAGTCCACCCCCACCAGTGAACTCCCTCCCCTCGACAAACCTCATACCATCATTATTTTACCCAGAATTAGTTTTCCACAGCCCCAACTAGTCAACCCTTCTTACCCACCAAACAAATTTGTTTAAAAATCAATTTTAAAGCAATTATTTCTTTATCACAGCCTAAGAAAATACCCAAACGCAAGCAAAGAGGACGCCATTTTTCCTTAACGAAGATAATCCTAATAAAACCTGCAAAGTTTATCGACCATAAATGAAATTTGATTATTTCCTTCTTACAAGTCTCGACAGCGATCTCAATAAACGGCCCAGTCAAATGTTTGGAGATGGGCTCAGGCGAATGTGTGGTAAATTATGAGAATAATTAGTTGAAACGGGCGCAAACAATTCACGTGGGCGGAATTGACGTCACAATGCCCCATCCTTACTTAAACGCAACGGTTCTTAAAATATTTAAAAAGAAAAAAAAATATAGAACGGGTATGAAAATGTTGATAAAGAATCGATGGGTGGTGAAAACATTGAAAGTGTTGATAAAGATTTGATGGCTGGTGAAAACATTGAAAGTGTTGATAAAGATTTGATGGCTGGTGAAAACATTGAAAGTGTTGATAAAGATTTGATGGCTGGTGAAAACATTGAAAGTGTTGATAAAGAATCGATGGGTGGTGAAGACATTGAAAATGTTGATAAAGATTTGATGGCTGGTGAAAACATTGAAAGTGTTGATAAAGATTTGATGGCTGGTGAAAACATTGAATTTGTTGATAAAGAATCGATGGGTGGTGAAGACATTGAAAATGTTGATAAAGATTTGATGGCTGGTGAAAACATTGAAAGTGTTGATAAAGATTTGATGGCTGGTAAAGACATTGAAAGTGTTGTCTTAAGAGCCTTACCATTATCATCGATTCCACCATTTTTTTTACAAGGCAGTAGGTAGTACGAAGTAGGCGGTAGGGAGTAGGAAGTGAACAGTAGACAGTAGGCAGTAGCCAGTATGCAGTAGGAAATACGAAGTAGATAGTAGGCAGTAGGAAATAGGCAGTTGGAAGTAGGAATTGTGAAGTAGGGAGTAGGAAGTAGGAAGTAGACAGTAGGAAGTAGACAGTATTCAGTAGGAAGTACGAAGTAGACAGTAGGCAGTAACCAGTATGCAGTAGGAAGTAGACAGTAGGCAGTAGCCAATAGTAAGAAGGCAGAAGCCAGTAGACAGTAAGCTGTTGTAAGTAGACATAAGGAAGAAGGCAGTAGGAAGTAGGCAGTAGGCAGTAGCCTGTAGGAAGTAGGCAGTAGCCTGTAGGAAGTAGGCAGTAGGCAGTATAGCTCGGCAGTTGGCCAACTCAAAGAACGCACTTGACATAAAATTAAATGGGAAACCTAGAATTCGTCAGGTGCCACCCATTAATGTGATACTCATCTTAAATGCTTAGAGAAACCTTTCTACTTCCATATTTAGGGCACGCGAATGTCAGTTAAGTACTTTTAATCCCTGATTTAAGCTTAAGATTAAGTTCTTAAAAAATCCCAGTCCTGGAGACCGTTGAATTTAATCATGGATTTGATCATTTATTTGTTACCCCGACCCACGCCTGTATCTTACTCTATTGTTCATCGCTCTCACTCACTCTATATTGTATTTAAACATTGCTTGCCTTCTCTTCTCTGTGTAAAGGCCTACTCGAGTCTCTCTCTCCCTATCTCACTATTTATCTGTCTCTCTTTAACTCTCTCTGCCTTCTTTTATCTATGTAAAGGCCTCCTTGAGTCTCTCTCTCTCGCTCTCGCTCAATATCTGTCTCTCTTTGACTCTCTCTGCCTTCTTTTATCTATGTAAAGGCCTCCTCGAGTCTCTCTCTCTCTCGCTCTCGCTCAATATCTGTCTCTCTTTGACTCTCTCTGCCTTCTTTTATCTATGTAAAGGCCTCCTTGAGTCTCTCTCTCTCTCGCTCTCGCTCAATATCTGTCTCTCTTTGACTCTCTCTGCCTTCTTTTATCTATGTAAAGGCCTCCTTGAGTCTCTCTCTCTCTCGCTCTCGCTCAATATCTGTCTCTCTTTGACTCTCTCTGCCTTCTTTTATCTATGTAAAGGCCTCCTTGAGTCTCTCTCTCTCTCGCTCTCGCTCAATATCTGTCTCTCTTTGACTCTCTCTGCCTTCTTTTATCTATGTAAAGGCCTCCTTGAGTCTCTCTCTCTCTCGCTCTCGCTCAATATCTGTCTCTCTTTGACTCTCTCTGCCTTCTTTTATCTATGTAAAGGCCTCCTTGAGTCTCTCTCTCCCTCGCTCTCGCTCAATATCTGTCTCTCTTTGACTCTCTCTGCCTTCTTTTATCTATGTAAAGGCCTCCTCGAGTCTCTCTCTCTCTCGCTCTCGCTCAATATCTGTCTCTCTTTGACTCTCTCTGCCTTCTTTTATCTATGTAAAGGCCTCCTTGAGTCTCTCTCTCTCTCGCTCTCGCTCAATATCTGTCTCTCTTTGACTCTCTCTGCCTTCTTTTATCTATGTAAAGGCCTCCTTGAGTCTCTCTCTCCCTCGCTCTCGCTCAATATCTGTCTCTCTTTGACTCTCTCTGCCTTCTTTTATCTATGTAAAGGCCTCCTCGAGTCTCTCTCTCTCTCGCTCTCGCTCAATATCTGTCTCTCTTTGACTCTCTCTGACTCTTTATGTTATTTATTATTAAATATTGACGTAAAGCCACCATTAGCGTCAACACTTTGGGAGAAGAGGAGGGGGCGAAAAGGGAGGAGTTGCTTCTAATCTGAGTCTGGGGTGGGGTGGGGGGGATAAAATCCCCACCTCCCTTTTGGCTGCCTTTTGAGTTTTTCCAGGTAACAAAATTGATCTTAAAAGACAACGATACAATTGGACATCAAAGGCTGTTCATTGTATAGCACCCTGGATGATGACATCAAAGGCAGTTCATTGTATAGCACCCTGGATGATGACATCAAAGGCTGTTCATTGTATAGCACCCTGGATGATGTCATCAAAAGCTGTTCATGGTATAGCACCCTGGATGTTGACATCAAAGGCTGTTCATTGTATAGCACCCTGGATGATATCATCAAAAGCTGTTCATTTTATAGCACTCTGGACGATGACTTCAAAGGCTGTTCATGTATAGCACCCTTGATGATGACATCAAAGGCTGTTCATTGTATAGCACCCTGGATGATGTCATCAAAAGCTGTTCATTGTATAGCACCCTGGATGATGTCATCAAAGGCTGTTCATTGTATAGCACCCTGGATGATGACATCAAAGGCTGTTCATTGTATAGCACCCTGGATGATGACATCAAAGGCTGTTCATTGTATAGCACCCTGGATGATGAAATCAAAGGCTGTTCATTGTATAGCACCATGGATGATGACATCAAAGGCTGTTCATTGCATAGCACCCTGGATGATGTCATCAAAAGCTGTTCATTGTATAGCACCCTGGATGATGACATCAAAGGCTGTTCATTGTATAGCTCCCTGGATGATGACATCAAAGACTGTTCATTGTATAGCACCCTGGATGATGTCATCAAAAGCTGTTCATTGTATAGCACCTTGGATGTTGACATCAAAGGCTGTTCATTGTATAGCACCCTGGATGATATCATCAAAAGCTGTTCATGGTATAGCACCCTGGACGATGACTTCAAAGGCTGTTCATGTATAGCACCCTTGATGATGACATCAAAGACTGTTCATTGTATAGCACCCTGGATGATGTCATCAAAAGCTGTTCATTGTATAGCACCCTGGATGATGACATCAAAGGCTGTTCATTGTATAGCACCCTGGATGATGACATCAAAGGCTGTTCATTGTATAGCACCCTGAATGATGTCATCAAAAGCTGTTCATTGTATAGCACCCTGGATGATGTCATCAAAAGATGTTCATTGTATAGCACCCTGGATGACGTCATCAAAGGCTGTTCATTGTATAGCACCCTGGATGATGTCATCAAAAGCTGTTCATTATATAGCACCCTGGACTCCGATATCAAATAAGGGAAACGTACTTTAAAAAAAAAAATTTTCGATACTGTTCTTAAAATATTTAGCAGCTTGGAATTCTCCAGTTTGTTTTTATACTTTAAAAAAAAAAGTTCAATCAATGTATTAAGACTATACAAAGTGTTGGACACGATCGGAACTTTCTGTCCAAATGGTCACTGAGATGGACAACTCAAATTCACTTTAATTTGAAATCTGTCCAGCGCCCGTCTCGCTCGCCGTCTCCGTGAGATGACCGTGGCGGGAAATAGAGAACCAGCGCCCAGGCCCGTCCGGCGCGTTGTTTGTCCAGGGCTGGCACGGAGGTATTGACTTGAAATGTTCCGTCAGCTAATCGAATCGGACATTTGACGGATGGCCCCGAATGGATCCTTGCCTAATTTTCTTAATGTAAATAATACAGTTGCCCGGGCCGAGGCAGAAGGACTTTTTAGCAATGAATAAAGTTCAGTTTTAAACGATGAAATTGGCTCGATGAGGAACACATTAAATTGTTTCTGCTCCCCAAAGTGGAACCCAACTGTGATCATCGGGTGATTGTGCGGCTTCTTTGATGGTTGTGATATTTAATTTGTGAAGTTATTTGGGGGGGGGGGGGAGAAAAGAATTCGATATTTTGGTAACATTACAAACGAGATTGTTTGAGGCAGGGCTTAAAAAGTCACATTTTTTTCATAATCGCTATATTAGAAGGTAATTATTTCTATATGTATCCTTATACATTTGGAGTGCAAAAAGCCAAACAATAACAACAGCGTGGGCGCATTCTTTTCCCCAGCAAATGAAGGCAGAATAACGAATTAGAAAGAAAGGGCACGTGACCACGTGTGCAAACTATGTTTGTATCTATAACAATTTCGTCTTGCTGCATAGTTCAAACATCCATTAATCATGTTCCGTATATCATGTTCATATATCATGTTCCATATATCATGTTCCGTATATCATGTTCTGTATATCATGTTCATATATCATGTTCACGTATATCATGTTCAATATATCATGTTCACATATATCATGCTCAATATATCATGCTCCATATATCATGTTCCTAATATTGCATTCACAAGGCCAGAGCGAATTCTCCATAATAATAAACGCTTGCACCATGTTGATATTTAGGTTCAGTCAGTTAAGATCATTCAAGGCCACGACTAGACCTAAGGTTAAAATCAGTCAAGGTCACCTCTAGATATAAGGTAGATCACGGTACAGTCATTATGTTGGTTTACATATTACACTATTTTTTGTGACCAGGCAAGAAGTTTAAATACTCACCAGGTAACATAAGATACACATATCGTTTTAAATACTAACCAGGTAACATAAGATACACATATAGTTTTAAGTTTTAAATACTCACCAGGTAACGTAAGATACATATAGTTTTAAATACTCAACAGGTAACATAAGATACACACATAGTTTTAAATTGAATTATGTTGGAACGGGTGACCAGTTTAAGCAATTTTTAAAACAAACTGTATACAGGGAAGGTAGGTTACAGAACACTAACATTGGACTGAATACAGGGAAGGTAGGTTACAGAACACTAACATTGGACTGAATACAGGGAAGGTAGGTTACAGAACACTAACATTTGACTGAATACAGGGAAGGTAGGTTACAGAACACTAACATTTGACTGAATACAGGGAAGGTAGGTTACAGAACACTAACATTTGACTGAATACAGGGAAGGTAGGTTACAGAACACTAACATTGGACTGAATACAGGGAAGGTAGATTACAGAACACTAACATTGGACTGAATACAGGGAAGGTAGGTTACATAAATGATAACATTGGACTCAATACAGAGAAGGTTGCTTACAGAATTCCTACATTGGACTGAATGCAGGGAGGTAAATTACAAAACCCTAACTAGAGGCCATCTTACCTATAGCATAGAGAGTTCCATTAATACAACCTCCACAGAACACTTGCACGACGGCAAAGATATTGTAAGGAGTCCACGTGACTATGAACGCCAACAAAATGGCGGTCAAAGTCTTCGCCGCCTTTTGGTCCTGGCGTCTTTCCTGGCGCCGAGATTGTACCTTGGACCGGGCTATCTGCCTGGCCTTGTTGACGCGGGTGGCCGCCTTTGCGGCTATCTTGGCCTGCATGGCCACCTTGTTGGAGTCACTGCTCTGGGCGCGGCGAGCGAGCGCCGGTGTTCCCGTCGGGGGGCGGACCGGGGGCGGGAGTGAGGGCCGGTCGTGAAACCTCCCCGACTGTAGATCGTCGTCATCCGTGTCGCTCTCGTTCCGCTGCACGAGTGAGGGATTCATTTCACTGAACCGGTCGAGGTCTTCCTCCGGCTCCATCCTGATGGTCGGCCGCGAGCCGCAGTTGTTGTCCTCGGGCAGACGGATCAACACCCGGAACATGGCCGTCTCGTCATCGTCCTCTTCCTCTTCGTCGCTCTCTCTGAGGTGGCGTCTCAACTTGACCGGAGACGTGACCGAGTCGGAGATCGGATCCTCGACGATTGTCGTCGAAACCGGGTCGGAAAACGACGTGGTCAAGACGCAGGGAGTTCTGGACGTGGCCACGTCCGTCAGTGGGCAGGAAGGCTGTTCCGGGGTAGACGACATGGTGTCCAGGCTCATGTCACGGTAGATTGAATACGGCGATGTGGGCGTTTCTATCGGTAGCAAGGGTATAAGCGAGGTGCTGAAGTTCATCCGCACCGACCGCGACGGTTTGGAGCAAGGGACCTGCAAGCTCGTGGTGGAATTCTCCGAGTCTTGTCTGGGCAGACCCTTCTCCCCGTTACTCCGGGGGGTGCACAAGGCTGGCAGCGTGCTGTTCGAATGGGCGTTGGACGTCGGGGGAGATCCCGGTGGCTCGCTGGAGCTCGAGTCCTCCAAATAATCCGAGTCCCGATCGATTTTCAGGCACCCCAAAAGTTTGCTCTTCACCGTCGGCGTCTCGCTCAGGTCGTTGCAGTTCTGGTTGACCAGATTGTTTCCCCGCTCGCTCGTGCTCGAGTAGCCCTCCTCATCGCTGGACGCCATGGATTTCTTACTCGAATGATGCTGCCGCTGCTGAGGGTCTTTGATCTTCTTGGACTTGTGCATACCCTGAAGCTTCGGCAGATCCTTCTGCCGCTTCTGCGTCTCCATGTAGATCCGGAAGTACAGGACCGACATGATGATGACGGGGATGTAGAACGCGAACATGGCCGTTATGACCGTGATGTAGTGGTTCGTTTTTAGAAACTGGATGTAGCAGTCGTTGGACGGCACCGTGCGCTTGCCCTCGATGTACGGCCACGCGAATATCCAAGGCGTCCATATCAGGGAGGATATCACCCAGGCGCACCCTATCATGGTCGCCGCCCTCCGCGGAGTTCGCTTGGCCCTGTAGGTTAGGGGCCTCGTGACGCTGAGGTACCTGTCGAAGCTGATGATGATCAGGTTGGCCACGGAGGCGTTGCTCATGGTGTAGTCGAGAGAGAGCCAGATGTCACACATCAGTGCCTTGAGCGGCCAGTACCCCATCAGAAGGTACACCGTGTACAGTGGCATAGATACTATACCAATGGTCAGGTCCGCCACGGCCAGGCTCAGCAAGAAGTAGTTACTGACCGTCTGTAAATTTTTATCCAACTTAAAGGCCACGATGACCAGCATGTTTCCTCCGGCCGTTAGAATGGCCAGTAGGCCGACCACTATGGAGATGACCACGATCTCGGCCGTCGTCCTGTCGACCCCAAGAATCTCATCGGTGACGTTGCCAGAGATGGCGCTGTTGTAGCTGTTTTGCCCCGGGGAAACGGTCCACGCCCCGTCGGTCGCAGTAAGGATTGAATCGGTGAGGCCCTGGACAGAGGGGCTCGGTACCGGAGACGTGATGTTGAACCCTCGTACCGCGGGGAGGGTTGTGTTGGAGAGGGGGAACGTGGCGTGGAAATAATCCTCAAAAGAGACCGACTCGTTCAATGAAAGTGTGGAGCGGTACTCGTGAAACGAGGTGGTCAAGTTGTGGAGCAGTGACCCCAAAGTCTGCGCCAGGGACGGAACTTCGTAAGAGTCATTCACGGTGAAGGGTTTCTGCAGCGGTTCTGGGTGGTGAGGTAGCGCAGCGCTCTGGCTGGCGGCAAAACTCTGAGGCGCAGGCGAGTTCTCAAAAGAGACGCTGCTCTCGACACCGTGCAGATAGGCCGAGGGTTGAACCAGGGGTTCGTCTTTGGACATGCCCACGAGGTCTGAGGTGTCTGAGATTGTTTGCAATGCGGCGTGCCTTGTGCCTTCCCATACCTGCGAGGGGCTCAGCATTGGGCCGGCGAGGGCGTTTAATAAGGCCGACTCGTGCGGGTAGCCCCTTCCGCCGGACGTTGACGGCGACAGCGACATCTTAAAGAGCAAGGACTCGCTACTCCTGCTGGCATAGCTGCGCGTTGATTGGGAGAGGTGAAGGCTGTTGCCGGTCTCATTTATTGTCGTCGTCTGTGTCGTCTGCTGAAAGGTCGGACGGTGAGAACGAGGCGATGCTAGACAGATCTAATCAGCAAGCGCCTCAAGTCCATCGCCTGTCTCAGCTGCATGGGATCACACGAACCGAGCATCTATCACTGGTCGTCTCTAGCCGAGTCGCAACCTGGGCATGAGGTTCACGCTACACTTGACCGCGGCGTATCTGAAGATACAAACATAGAACTTCTCGTTAAACAACAAGTTTGATTGATGGTGAAAAAAAAAAGCAAGAATCTTGGGAAAGTCACTCAAATACGACGACATCCCCGTTTATGTCACATTTGTATTAATTTATGAGACATGTTTAATAGACAAGTTTATTAGATATGTTTATGAGACAAGTTTATGAAACATGTTTATGAGGCAAGTTTATGAGACTTAATTATGAGACTTGTTTATGAGACTTGTTTATTCCTCTACATATATTTGTACCATCGATTGGTGTTTGTTTGAAACTTGAATGACATGCTCTTAATTACACCGTTGAGCTTTGTTTTTCATAGATTAAGTGCATATGCCCTTCATTCGATTACACATATGTTCATCAAAAGATTAAGGGCATATGCCCTTCATTCGATTACAAATATGTTCATCAAAAGGTTAAGGACATTTGCACTACATTCAATTAAAAATATTTTCAGCCAAAGATTGAGGGCAATTCGTGCGATTAAAAATATGTTCATCATAATATAAAGGGCATATGCCCTTCTTTCGATTACAAAATATGTTCAGCCAAAGATTGAGGGCATTCGTTATTCATAAATTATTTTTCTATTTTAAAAAAAAAAAAAAAAGAGAGAGCGTGGCATTGTCCGCCATTTTGTCTAGATTTGTTCAAGGTCATCTACAGCACGCGTGTTCATTAAACCAGTGAACACTGAAGATTGACCAGATGTCACGCACGACCAGAGGGGCTCTAAGGAGCCCGCGCCTTTACAAGAACGTCCGAGATGTGGCCACGACCTGTTCACGCATGTTCAGGTCTGCTGCAGAATTCAGAACATCGTTGGGTGGACAAAGGGGTCGGGGGGGGGTAGGGTGGGGGGGTAGGAGATGTCACGCATCGGTGAGCTCCGGCCGGCTTCCAAAGCAACTGATCGATGGTGGTCGTGAAATGAGCCATTCATCGGTCGGGAGTCCGCTGAGCTTCCGCCAGGATTAAACACGTCATCCGTTGTACGCCCGGGGAAATGTGTTAACATCGCACGCGGCCAACAGGTCTGAACGCCGGTTAAAAATTTAGTTTTTTTTTTTTTAAAACACGTGGGCCGACTTAGTTAAACTTGTAACTGTTCAACAATGCTAACCGACTGGGGATTTAACGCACACCACCAACACGGTTAAACCGACTTAAAATTGTTAACACACGATCCATCGAAACGCCAGATCGCGTTAGGTAGAAAACTTTTTTTTCCCCCCAATTAGGAGGTTGAAAGCTAAACTATTTCCCTTTAATACAGGCCCAAGTATATCTGTGTTTAAAAGTACTCTCATCAGGCAGCGTGTTCAAAGTGCTGGTCAATATTGGTGTACTTTATTATTTCATTTATAACGAGGACGTAAAGAGGAGGGAAATATATTGAGATGATTTGGGGGGTGGGGTGGTGGGTGGGGAGAGACGGAAGAAATGGGTGTGCCTTAACAAAAGTCGTGTCACTGGAGGAGTTACACTGCCAAATAAATTGAGTGACAGCTAATATCACGTGACACGTAAAGTGATCTTGCACATATTGATATGACGTTAGGTGATTAAAAAAAAAAAAAAAGAAAGATGGTTTGAAGGATGTTGACGTTACCAGTCCAAGAGATGAGATTTTAAATAAATTGAGTGACAGCTAATATCACGTGACACGTAAAGTGATCTTGCAAATATTGATATGACGTTAGGTGATTAAAAAAAAAAAAAAAAGAAAGATGGTTTGAAGGATGTTGACGTTACCAGTCCAAGAGATGAGATTTCTGACTAAACTGTCAGACGAAAAACAAAAAATGTTATTAAATCTGCAACAAGCTGGGGGTGTTTTTTTGTTGTTGCGATCCTTCCATGCACATCACAGGGGGGGAAACCTGAGGGGGGAAAACCCGATTGATTGGACGGCCGCATCGACTCTTGAGTTCATATCCCTTGTCAAGAGCGACAACATGGAGGATGCGGCCAGACAACTGAAGGGATGAGAGGCCCGGCTTGTCCATAATCAAACTCCGCCACCAGACCAGCGAGGGGTGGGTGTTTTTTTTAATGCAAACCTGTCAACCTGTCTTAAAACCCACTCCACCAATTCACCCTCCACATCACATCATGATACTTCAATCTGCGATGCGTCATATGTCAGAGATTGAAAAGCTGGAATTTCATCTCGTCTTGTTCGTCATTCAACTGCTCCATACATGGAATAATCCTTTCTTTCATAGACTGTGTCTTGTCGTGTCTGTGTGTCTCATCTAGTTTCTGTGTCTCGTCTTTTCCGCGTGTCTCATCTAGTACGTGCGTCTTTGTCTTGCATGTGTGTCTCGTCTTGTCTCCATGACCTAAAAGGGTGACGCACACATCTACTTGGGCAGATAAGTGAAATGTGGATGAAGGGAGGTGGTCTACGTGGGCACCAACTGGGCCAGTCGACACATGAGGTCTATGTTCTTAAAGCAGAATTCAATGGCACAGACTGGGCCAGTCGACACATGCCTTCTATGTTCTTAAAGCAGAATTCAAAGGTCTAATTTTATTAAATTATTTTAGACGGGGTCTCAAATTGAAAATGTAATGGCCACAGTTGAATAATCTGAATGATGAAACAAGCACATGGATTCTTGAACAAAAGTTGAGCTCATTTAAAAAAAAAAAAGAAAAAAAGAAAGAAACTTTTGTGTGTAGGTGGCGTGGCGGAGTTGGAGGGGGGGGCGTCGTTGGGGGCGCGGTTGGGGGGCGTGGTATGTTTTTTTTTGCTATCTTTCAGCAACCAGACCCTAGAATCCAGGGGTCACTGAGACATTGCCCCCCCCCCCCTTTTCCGTGCCAGTGTCTAATGACGGCCTTACAAATAGAGGGTTCTCAGATTAATCTTTTCCGTCACCATAAAACGGCCTTGGTTACAAACAAAAAAAAAAAAA